ATCTCAATGTGTAATCACAGACCTCACAACACCCATTTAACCATCTGGCACTGAGAGCTTCAATACCATTCCCCATTCCCCAAACTTGAAGGCTCATGGGAATGCCTGCAAGCACATATTAATAATACATTTTTCGTCTGGATTGAAATCATTTGTAGCGTTCCTAAAAAAGGAGATAAAATTGAACTACTAAGTCTGTCTAATTTCTCTGTAGAGCAGTGTTTTCTTCTTGCTTTTCAGAAATTTGGAGATGTGGATTTATCTAACATGAATGTTAGCTAAGCAGAGGTGCGACTAGTTTTCCTATGCCTTCTTGGAGAAGAGCATGCTATTTTACAGTAATAACTAGATTGTTGCAAGGTGCAGTGTTTGGTTGGGCACTTATCTGGCTCTGGATGTACAACGTTAATTTTGTTTGTGTATGGCTTCGTTCTCCCCAAGCCTTGACTACGGAACGTCTAAGCCTCAAACTTGCTCACAAAGACCCTACTCCCATCTTCAGACTACACTTATTATCAGCAAAGGCTCCCTGTAGGCATTACACAGAGCAGTCACAGTGCGAATCCTAACTGCACGTAAAGCACGTGTCCCACAGCAGGAGCAGGGAAGCTGACATTCCCAGCCACTGGTCCACCAACATGCCTCCATCACGCAGTCACTGGTGGGAATCCTTCCCAGCACAGAGCTGTTTGTTCCTGCTTTGGACTTCCAATAAGGCAGTATGTGTAAATTGGGTGTCAGTGTGGTGAGATGTTCGCTGAAATCTGAGTTGAAATCCTTTAAGTGTGGAAGTAGTATTAGGAGCGCAGACCTTACTTAGAAACCTGTGATTTTCAGCAAGTGTAGAATGAAGCCAACCTAACAAATGCTGATTCTGATTATCTGTGAGTATTTCTTCTTGCTGTGTCACAAACAATGGTGCTCTGAGTGCTATACATATTTAGATACTAAAAGCTGTTTCTTATTAGGCAGCTTTATTCTCTGAAAATATTTTTTTTTGCACCAAAAGAATTAGTGAAATCTCAGACCTCCCTGCTTGGTCATAAGCCCTCTCCTCTTCCACCACCTCCTTGCAATGATGCCTTTAATGAGACTGCAGTTCACATCTGGCTTTTAGTACTGTGGATGTATGACAGAACACAAAGGGTTCGTTGTCTAAAAGTGAAGACCTGAGGCTGGTAGGAAAGCTGTAGGAGTTGAAAGTGACTCTAAACAAAATCCATTTTAAATGAATTCAAGTCTTCAAGAGTGCTTCTTGTATATTTTGCATATCAAAGGCTTTCTTTTCTTGTTTATGATAGTTGAAAACCATATAGGCCATGGGTTGGTATTTTGTCTTATTTTACTGTGTGGATGTTTGGTTACTTCAGGGTATTCTGTCAATCTATTTATCTGTTCTATTTGTAGAGAGACAGTGAATCTCTATTCTCTGCTCAGGATCTTTATGTTCATACCGGACCAAATATTGCTGGTTTTTGCAGAGGAAACAGCAAAGCGTTCTGTCTGGTAGGCAGACCCTGCTGATGGGGGTTGTGAACACAGGACAGCTTCCAGAAGCCCTGAGGAGGAGGTGATGGGGCAGTCCAAGAGAGCTTTAGTGGCTGATAGGTCCAAGCTGTTGTGAGTAAGGGGCTGTGAATCCTGCAAGCCAAAACCTCCCATATTTCAGAAAAGAGTGGGCATTTTATAAAGCGCTTTTTCATCTGCAAGCAACAGCTGTGGAATGACTTTAATGGTAATCTGTAGCTGTGAAGAAGGTTATGATCTTTTGCTGTCCAACAGAAGGTGCTTGCACAAAGCCCCTTTTGCAAAAAGAGCAGAAATACATTAGCTTCAAAAATTACAATTTTTATATCTCGTGTTTTTGCAGAAGTTCACCATATGTTAAGGGAGTGATATAGCAATATATATTGCTAGGGCAAGCAAGGGGGCTCAGGAGACCTGGCTCTGCTTTGGCTTTGCTGTAGAATTGTTTTGCATAGTCTGCGTTAGTGCGTTCTTTTTTTTGCTTTGGAGCATTGTTGCTTTCCACCTCCTATCATTTCTTTCACATTCATTTGAATTACTTCATAACGGGGATGGTTTCACCCTGCCATGTGGTCTCATCTGTGTCAGCTTGGATTTTTCCCCAGATTACCTGTTGCTATTTCTGCAGCTCATTTAGCCACGCTGCATCTGGTGGCTGAGTTAACTGGAAGCTCGTGGGAGGTGCTGGGAATGGCAGTTTGCCCTGCCGTGTAGGCACACCTTGATTGCTTTTGTACAGGCTGCTACAGCTGAGATCTCTAGATGATACCATAATATTTGTGCTGTTTTTAGATGGGCTGGTTAAGATTAAAGCAGCTTGTGTCTTTTTGTACTTTTCTTCGGTGCCTAGCGTTCCTTCTCAGCATTACTGATTTCCTGTAAAGAAATACAGTGTGGTGCTTCGAATTAATGGCATGTGCCCTCTTCTGTGAAGCCATGAGATTCTGGAGAAACAGGAAATTTGTGATTATGAAATGACACGTATTCCTTCTAAGAGTACACAGAAAGTCATAGAATCACAGAGTGATAAAGCCAACTCTGTTTTAGGCAATGTTTCTCTTTCCCACGTAGTCATTCAGGCTGGAACTTCAATGAAATTAGGTTAGAGCTGAAATTGGAAGAGAACAGAGATTTCTCCCATAACTAAGTCTACTTTTTTCTCTTTGAGCGTTTTTTGTGTAGTTCCACAGTAGGATTTCATATCTCTATTTCATATCTCTACGTGCTTTCAAGGCAAGCAGCTTTCAGCTGGACAGCTGGAGTTAGTCAGTGTGCCCAAAACAGTGCGGTCCTCAAAACAGCAGTAAGGTTTAGACTTTGCATTGTGGTGTGTGAATACCCTTTTTGTGTATAACCCTCAAAAGCAGGCAGAAAGTCTTCTTTCCTCTCCTCCCTTCTAGAGGAAAAGAGGGAAATGAGCATAATGAGCTGTAGTAGCCACTGATTCAAAGAGTGATGGAGAAACAATTTGTAGTTGGGCTTGAATAAAACACAAGCAAGTTAATTTTATTGCAAAATTTCTGTTTTTCACTGACAAGCAGCTGCTGGGCGCAGCCTGGAGGTCAGAGCGAGCCGGGTTGGCAGCTGGTGGGGAGCAAGGGTGGCTGCTCTGATGTCTGCCCATTGCTGGGACAGCTGTTGGGCTGTCTGGTTGGGGTTGGTGATCCCAAGCCAGCCCTGGATGGGGGATTACAAGGTTCAGGTGTCCATGTGCTCTTGGATGCTTACTCTGCTGATTTTGAGGTTTCTGATATATGACAGACAAGGCCCTGGAATTTTGTCTTCTGGGAAGTTGTGTTGTTTGTGTTGCCTTTTGTTTCACAGAGGTTGATGTACTTTTTGCTGTTTTCATCAGTAATGGGAAATTTAGAAGACTTGATTCTTTGTAGTCAGAGTATCTCCTGTGGTTTGGCACCTGGATCTGTTCCAGAGCAAAGATCTGTCTTCCTCTTTGGATTTGGTCAGAATATTCCAGGAGCTTTCAGTCTAGGCAGAGAGAAATTTAATAGTTAATATAATCAGGCTTATGCAAATGAATCTTGATCTATTGTTCTGATGCCTATAAATATATTTTTTTAAGTAAATGTTAATAAATGGCTGAGAGCTCCAGCGAGACCAATGTTTTGCATTGCTTTCCTTTACTAATCAGGCAGCATGCAGTGCCAAGAAGCATGGTGATGGTTTTCTGATATTCCTTTTCCTGGTGTGCCACACACTGCACCACTCGTGCTCTTGGGCAAACTGGCACATATGCTTTATGTTAAACAATGTTCCCTGTGTGTGTGGTTGGTGTAAGCTGTCCTTCAAACTGAAGATAAGGAGTTTCATCACCTCTGAATTCTGAACGGTTGCCTTTGTGACACATGGCATATTAAGAAATAAAGCCAAGCAACTAAACGCAGGAAAGATCTCTACTGCCTAAGGGAACCAAATACAAGAAAAGAATTACACTGAAAAGCACAAGCCTTCATATTTAACAGACACCAAAAACTCTACTTTCTGTGGACAAATTGTTTTTTTGACTGTTTTCTGTTTCTAGAGCAGACAGAACTCTTCCTGGCCAAAGCAGTTTTCACCTTCATTCAGTTTCTCAATATGTGACCTGATTTTTTTTCCTGTTAACCTTTCCTGCTCACACAAGGTTAAATCTTCAGGGATGTTTCCCTTTCCAACTAAAGCTCTGGTATGAGGAAAGCACAAAGCGTAGCTTAATCTGTTGCAGCTCCCCAGTTAATACAAACTCTGCAGAGATTGCAGGGCTGGCTGCTGAATTGCTTTTGCCTACCACTTGTCTGAGAGGTGACACAGTAATGGTTTCTAAATGCCCCCCCAGCACCTGATCTCAAAGCATATGGCAGATTTTGGTGGTATAAACTTTGTGATAAATGAGAGAAACTGGGGCACGTTGGTGTTTGGGGATGGTGGACGTATTATGGCTTATTGAAATGGCCATAATTAAGCAGAATTGCCCAATCTCAGGTTATTTTTTCAGCTCCTACGTTGCAGCTCATGCAGGATAAAAACTGCCTTCGACAGATTTGTATTTTGGTGGAAATCTGCCTGTCTTCCTGCAGAACTGTCAGCTGCAGAAACTTCGTTTCTCAGAAGTGCTGGCTTCCCAGATTGTTAGAGAAGGCAACTGTGTAGGTAAGCTTGATGTATTCGAAAGCGTGGCTTCTGGGGATGCAGGATGTTACCCACTGTCTTCCAAAATTCAGTTAATTCTAGAAAATGGATGTAGCTTTCAGCAGTGCTGTGGCTGAGCATAAATTCAAATATTTATTTGAGACTTTTTGGATGGAGTGACGTACCGTGTGGTATAAATAAGACCTTAACAAGCCTGTCTGAAGCAAAAATACAGCTCTTCCCCATCCCTTGCACTATCCCTCATCCTATTTATTTCTTTTCTGAATCTTTATGTTCAAGAAGAAAGAGGTCATCCACTTCCTTGAAGCTAAAGAGAAGCGCAGTGATACTTTCTCCTTCCTCCTTAAGAAATTCACAACGTGGAAAGAAATTCTGTGGGGAAACCAAACGTAAGCATCTAATACTTTATGAAGAATGACTTCTCCTCTAGGGTTACTATTTCATGTTTTTATTCTAATAGATCTTGTTAACCAATGAGGCAGGTAACTCTGTCCCTACTTTCAATGACTGGTTTTCAACAGAGCACAGCTGTTCATCAAGTTGAGTGCTTAATTATTGTTCCCTAGGCCATTTACAAATATACCATGAAACAGTCTATCAGTGCAAAGATTAATTGAAGTCATTTTGATGTCTGGGGAAAATCTGAAGTCATTTTGTTGTCTGGAGAGAATTTCAGCAACTTTTTGTGATGTTCCCTGATCTTGTGAGTAGGATCCCAGAAAAGTTGTCCTGGACTCATGTTGGGGTTGTCATGTGTAACAGACAGCATTTTCTTTTTTCTAAGCTTTAAACAGCCTGTCACCATTCCCAAAAACAACACACTTTTGCTCAGCAGCTGATCCAAAGCCTGTATCTCAGGCTTTCAATCAAACCCTGGCTAGCTGGTTTGTGTGTTTGGCTCAGCTGCTGCTTGTTCCCTGCTGTGACTCAGAGGACCAAAAGAGCATCCACTTCACAGCCATCAACAGGCTGCAGTAATAAGAGAGAATGGAAAGACAGTTATCTCTCTTTTAACAGCTAGAGAAAGTTGCTTCATTAAACCAACATCAAAAAATACCCTCTCAAATAGTCTGTGCCTACATGCTAAGCAGTTGGTGTCCTGGGTAAGGTTTTATATGTGATGTTTATCCAGCTTTTCATCAGTGACTTTGGGCTTTATGAAGAGTTTATGAACTCCTTACATGTAAGAATTTCTTTGTTTCTCTCATTATAAAAAATACATTAAGCGTAAGGATGGAGATCCTCAGATCACCTCAGAACACCTACTAGTAGCAACTGGAAAAATATGCATTTGTTTATTAAAAATAATTATTTTCCTCTTATAGAAGCATGTAAAGGTATTAGTCACTTGGTGCCCATTTTTGTTGAGCCACGTAAAGCTACATTGCAGGAGGATGACTTCCTTTCCATGCATTAGCATAAGACAAATATAAAATGAGCAATAACAGGTGGAGGCAACAGATTGAGGGAGCACAAGTTAATGATGATATCACTATAATTAAAGTATTAGCAGTGGTTACTTTATGGCGACTGCTTAGTTGCTGTCAGGAACAACCTATCCAGCTCAAAACACAGATTGAGATAGGTGAGAATGTAGCAGCTAGTGACAGTTAACAGCTACAATCTTGGCATTCATGCAAACACATCTTAATACTTACTGGATATAATAATAGTTCAAAATCACTATTCCACCTCTTCAAAATCTGATCTATAAGATGGACTCGGAGCATCTAATCTTGTAGTCCTCTGTTTGCTCCTAACCCATGTTGCTTTTGATATGCATTTTTAAAAATCCTGCAGCTTTCTGTGTTTTTGGGGGAGATTGTATTAAGGCTTAAATATTGAAGTTTTAAAGAGTTCTCCCTTCTGGGCTACAATCTTGGAGTCTATTGTTTCAAAAATTGATAGAGAGACAGAGGGAAGTCGTGTGTCTCTGGAACCATGCTGAGTTAAACTCTCCTAAGGCAACAAATGGAAGGTGAAAGGAAGGCACCCATTTCATCCTTTTTTGGGAAATCTTGAAGCGTGTTGCCTGATGAGGAAGCCTGATAATAGAGGGCAAATGTCCCTGCAAGTGTATTCAAGTGTCTCAAATTTGTCCAGACTTCTCAGGAGGAGCTGTTTTACCTTGAGGTAAAGCATCAGCCAGAGGAATAACACTGAGAATGCTATGGCCATAAAAACAAGAGCAGCTTCAAGGCAAGCACCCCATTTGAGAGATTGGCATAAAACAAGTTTTCTTGCAAAAGCTGCAAAAATGCTTAAATTTCAAAAGATCTGAAGGCAAGCAGCTCAGGGTGAGGAGCACGTGGACTAAGGTAGGGGAGGTCCGAAGTTCTCCTTCTCTAAAGTTCCAACATATAAAATATTTCTTATTTTAGTCTTTGCCCTCGTTAAGATACGCCTCTGAAGCAAATGCCATTAAGAAGATGAGTAACTTCTCAGTGTGCTGAGAAATGCCCAGAATCTAATAAAATTTGGGAGCTTGTCCCCACCAGGAGGTAATTGCTTTAGTCCTCAAACAGCTGATCTGCATAGAATAAATGATTGGACCAAATACATCATTAGCATATGAAATATTTATCCTAGCTCTTCCTAAAATAATGACAGTGCCTGGAAGAGTGCAGTGCAGCTGGAATGGCCACCTTAGTTTGACTTTTTTGCTTCGAAGAAGTGCTGCTGTGCGTGCAGGATGAAGGTGAGGGACCAGGAGAAGCCCTTGGCAGCAGGTGCTCATTAATCCCTGTGGGCTGCTCAGTCCTTGCAGCTCCTCCAAGGCTCCCAGTGCTCCGATCTGTGCCTTGTCCTGCTGCAAGCGGAAAACAGAAGCAGCTGGGAAAAGAAATATCCCAAGTTTTGAACTTATTTTTTTCCAGAAAAGAGTATGGAAATGTCATATACAAGAGAACGATTTAATAGGAAGAACTCCTTGAAAAGGCAGTCTTGCTGATTTTTAGCTTTGTAATAGACCCTTTTGCAATGTAAGGTTGCAAGACCTAAAGCATGTTTTCCTTACTCAGAATATTTCATGTATTAATAATTAAAGTTGGATTTCAAGGGACAGCTGGGCTTTGATATGCAGCTCCTCTGTTCTGCCTCTCCCTTTTTTGTTCATTAGAGACCTTTGGAGTGAGAGAGGAAAAAAAAGAGAGATTTGCATTGCCCTTTTGCTTTGCACGGGGACCGGGGAGTTTTTGAACTGCATTTACAAATTCATATTTTCATTGGAGTTGCTGATTGGATTAGCAATACTGCTGGCTTTATTATTATCCCTGATTAGAGTCAGAGCACTGGGGAGCTGACAAATGAAATCTGTCTGTAGTTCACCCAGCACACACTGTTTAATCCTGTTGATTGCAAGGCTTACCAAAATTGTTTAGTCACAAAGCTAGTTCTGTAAGTCGGTGAGGAGAAAAAAGGTAAATAAAAGATGACTCAGGAGGAAATGAGTTTGCAAATTATGTATGCTTACATAGCCTCCTTCAGCAGTCCAGAATATCAGGGTGTTAGAGCTCTGAATGACCTTTCAGTCATCTGGTCTGCATTTGTACTAATGCAGGATTATTTCCTATGGTATATGTCTTTTAAGTCCTTGCAGAAAGGAGATCAAGTCTGAGTGCTGTGCCAGTGAAAATGGACTTGGTAGCAAAACAGGAGAAAAAATGGTACATATTTCTTTTTTTTTTTTTTTTTTGGACCATAAGACCGAATAGAGTAGTGATTCTTTACTAAGAGTACTAATAGCAGACAAGTAACTAATCAGCTGTTTTTTGGCTACGATCTTTGAGGTTTGGGGTTGTCATTTCTCTCCAAGAGCCCTATGTATGCAGCCCTCCATTGCAGGCAGCAGCCCTGCTCGTCTCCTACCGCCTCCAGCCCAGGAATGAGGCTGCAGTGAAATTTAATGGCAATCCTTCTGGTCTGTGGTCAGAACAGCTGTGGGGCTGGCAAAGCTCAAGGCAGGACGCAGGTTTGCTGCTCTGAGCAGCCCCTTAAGAAAGAAGTGGAAAGGTTTTCATGTCCCTTGGTTTGTGAGCTGTGTGCTGTAGTTATGGAGGACTAAGCAGCCTCAGGGCAAGCCAGAGCTCCACAAGGTTCCCCACTTTGGTGTGGTTTCTCATCAGAGCGCTGAGGCTTGGGGGGTGATGGCACAGAAGACATTTTGCCATGTTCTTTCTCATGCTTGCCATAAGCATCTGCTGGCTTCTGTGATGGTGAAAATGTTTAAAAAAGAAACTATCAAAGGAAACAGGACTCTGATTTTTTTAGCTGGTTTAACTGATGGATTTGCAAGACAACCCTCAGGCAAAATTGTACAGAGGTGTAATTCCTGTGAACACATTTATGTGGTGCATCCCAATGACTCAATGCATCCCATGCTGCTGAGAATCATCCTGCTACTCAGCAGAGAAGTTTCTCAAGTTTCTCAAATCCGCCTGACTCAGGCAGACGTCCCAGCACTGTGCTGGGTTTCCATAAGCACCACGCTTAATTCCCTACAGTCACCTATTTTCTGGTATGGTCATGGTCAGCTTATGACTTCCCTCGTTCAAAAGCATTCTGTTGGGTTCCCTCTTTGCACAGTTACAGTGGGAACTGTTTCAATGTTTGTGCTCCTGGAGTGAGCACCAAGTCTGGTTTGTGGTGTCCTGCTCACAACCACTGCTTCAGGGGCTGGATTTTTTGGATTTATTGCTTAATTCAGTACAGTAACACTGGAAACCTTCTGTTAGCAAATGCTAAATTGACTTTAGACTGTAGAAGGAGATGATATAAATGAGATGTGATAAATCAAAGCATGTAATTTGTACCGAATACTCTTGGAATGAGTGTTGTGGCTTTGGAAACTAGATATTACAATTTCAGAGTGGCAGAAATATGTTTTGGTGAGAATTAATTCCCAAGTAACAGAACTATGTTTGTCTACTCAGCCTCTCCCTTTCCAAGGCAGCATCTGGCTTATTTTCCTTCTTCATTTTACATTTGGATGAGGTCTGGATGGCTGTAGAGCAGCTGAGCAAGGGATGCAGTCCTGCCGAAGTCCCTTTCTAGCTCTCAGCTGCTCCCCATGCTGGTTTGTAACATGGATTATTTTTCTGTAGATCCAGTTAACAGAGATCAGTGAGTTCAGGTGGGAGTGGTACTGGACCTAAAAGGCTCTCCTCCCCCCTGCTGCCTTTGGCAGTTCATGTTTTCAGCTCTTCCTTGTTAAACTTTCTTACTCTCTCACCTTTGAGGCCTTGGCTTCTGCATTTTTTTAGTACATGTAAAATATGGTGTGGTGCTCCAGTCTCGTGAAGCAATGTCTGGGCTGCCCTGTACAGCAAGTTAATTGTGTGATCACCACGTGGTTTAAACGTCTGCTTTGGATTTGAAGCAAAAATGCTGC